AGGAAGGAAGGAAGGAAGGAAGGAAGGAAGGAAGGAAGGAAGGAAGGAAGGAAGGACATTATAATGAAGGTGCAATATCTTACACATATTGCATAGTTCACTTCATTTGTCCACAATCTCCAAATAGATCTCTTTCCACTCTGAGAATAAGCGTTATGATTAATCATATTCTATCTGATAATTTTAGGACCATCACAAAATCCTTCAAATGAACCAGTGAAGCCAACGCTACCAAAAGCTTGTGATCCTAAGCTAAATTTTGATGCCATCACTACTTTCCGAAGAGAAGTGATATTTTTCAAGGGAAGGTAAAGAGGATTTGCTTGCTATAAAAGGAGAAAGACAGAACAGCTGTATAGTAGATGTGTATATGTCATGTAGAGTAGCTTGACATTGAAAAGAAAATATTTCCCACTCTCTACCCCCATCTAGTGTTTATTTGTTGCCTTGTCGTCTTTGTCCCAAAACCTGCTTTTTCTTTTTGGCTTTTCCTTGAAGACATTTGGCTTCTTATCTAAGGAGCTTCTTCAGTTCTGAAGAGAAGGAGCTTGGATGAGAAGTAAAACATCTTCAAGGAAAAACAAAGAAAGTCCAGTTATCTCTGGGAAAAGCACCTTTGGGACAACCATGACCTGGATGACTGAGAATTTCCAGAGACATTTTGCCTCATTACACTGTTCTGACTCCATTGCAGAAAGTTGGCACTTTCGATCCATTAGAACTTAACTATAATAACAAATATATAATGATAACTATATAACTTAACTATATACTTCACGATTCATTTACTCACTATAAACCTTATGAATAGCACCGGGATTATTTTCCTCCAAATTCCACATGGATTGGAATTTAGAGGAAACCAAACAAGGTAGGATTTGTGTCAAATAATACAGGTCTGAACCACTAGATTATAGAATTATAGAGTTCTAGCCAGTGGTGGATTTCAAAAAAATTTGGAACCTCTTCTGTAGGTGTGGCCTGCTTTGTGGGAGTGGCTTGCCGACCATGTGACCGGGTGGGAGTGGCTTGCAGCCGTGTGACCGGGTGGGCATGGCTAACTTGTAAAATGTGGTGAAACTCACTTAACAACACTCATGCTTAGCAACCAAAATGTTGGCTCAGGAACTCTGGCATTTGAAGCACGCAAGTCTNAAGAGCGTTGTTAAGTGAGTTTCACCACATTTTACAAGTTGGCCACGCCCACCCAGTCACATGACTGGCAAGCCACTCCCACCCGGTCACATGGCTGGCAAGCCACTCCTACCTGGTCACATGACCGGCAAGCCACTCCCCCAAAGCAGGCCACACCTACAGAAGAGGTTCTAAAAAATTTTGAAACCCACCACTGGAATGCACATGCACGCTCGTCGGGGAAACCCTCTGGAAAAGCCAAATTTCTGGGTTCTAGCACACGTTTGTGCCCAACGATCAGCTGGCTGGCATGCATGTGCACACTGGTTTCCGGCACTGTCGTGTGTGCAGAGGACAGCTGATTGTCACGTGCACATGTGTGCCAGAAACCCAGAAGACAGAAAGGCAAGGCTGTGCGTGCTGCGTGACATGGTTTTGCGTGCCACTTTGGGCACATATGCCATAGATTTGCCATCATGGACCTATAACAATATTCCTAAGAAAGTGCAAAAATGAATATGCCTTTGCTATTCTACCAACCAAACATTTAACAGATTAAATACGGTGAAATCCGCAAATTAATGTGAAAATGATGTATTCAGTTTCAAGCTTAAGCACTTTTCTGTTTTTGTCAGGCGTATATCAATCAGTTTTATGAGCCAGAAGCTGATCCACGGCAGCGAGGATGGAAGACAAACAATTTGTCCTTTGTGGATAAAATCAAACAAATGCAAGACTTTTTTAGATTGAATGTAACCGGAGAGGTGGATGCTGAGACCTTAGAAGTCATGCAGCAGCCACGATGTGGTATCCCAGATATTGGACAGTATGTCCTGGCTCTTCCCGGATGGAGAAAAACTAAACTTACATACAGGTAAAAATTAATTTGATGATAGATCAAATAAATGAGACGACACCAAGAAATTCTTTGTGATATACCCTGGGGTGGGCTTCAAAAATTTTAACAAGGGGTTGTTCTCTGCCCAGTTGCCAGGTGGGCGTGGCCATAGTGGGTGTGGCCCAGTCAGCCTCCTGCACCATGGTGAAGGAGGGGCATTTTGCCTCCCCAGGCTCCGGAGGCTTTCCTTGAGCTTCTGGGAAGGCAAAAATGGCCTCTGGAAGCTGGTAATGGGCCAGTTTCCAGCCTTCCCAAACTTCCGGTAGACCCGTTTTTCGCCCTTCCCGAGCCTCTGTGCGTAGCCTGCACTTACCGGCATCCAAAACAGGCCTTGTGGAGACTCCGGGGAGGGGAGGGGAGGGGAGGGGTGGGCAGGGCCAGCCAGGAGTGGGATTTGGGGGTTCTCCAAACTGCACAGAATCTTAGCTAGAGGTTCTCCCGAACCCCTGGGAATCCCCAGAAGCTCACCCCTGCCTGAATTTAAGTCAACATGCCTCAGATAAGAATAATATAGTACCTCCTCGGTTATATACACAATAGATCTTAAATAACAGCAATGTTGTCATAAACTCAGCACTTATAAGTTGAAAACTACCGAAAATCAATTATCACTCTTAGAACTTCATTTTAAACTGGAAAAACTAAGCTTGGATATTTATCGTATCGACGTACAGTTTAGGACTTTTGATTGCATGGCTTCTTATGAAAGTTTGGGGGAACTATAATTAGTATTTTAAATATGATAGAAAAGAGAAATTATTAAGTACATGACTAGGTGGTGAGAATATTAATCCATTTAAATTGATTTGAATTAATAATTCAAAGTAATTGAAATGGAATATAAGGGTGCTTTTTCAAAAGACAACTGGACTTTATTATTGAAGCTTTTTGGCTTCTCATCCAAGAAGCTTCTTCAGTTCTGACTGACAGTCGGAGGATGGAAGGATTTATATTCCTTGCAGTCATCTGGTTGTTAGCACTCTTTCTGAGAATCATTGAGGCCACTTGAAGGTTTATCTGTGCCCTCCGGGTCACCTGAATAGTGCAAATGGATGTGGAAACTTCTTGGAACTTCTGAAAGGACTGTGTTGTAGCCTGGACTTAATTGAACACTGCTATTTTGCAAAAACAGTTCATTGGAAGAAAATGCCTTGGGTAGGGGGAAAGGAAACTTGTTTTGTTCTCAGCTCAATAAAAAATAAAAGTCAGGTGAATAACTTTATCCAGGAACCGATCAATGTGAATTGGAAAGATTTTAGTCATTTTTCTCAATCTACTTCGATCTCTGTTTTTTATTTGTATATGTTCATTTTTCAGTCCAGATTGTTAATATCCATAGTGGTGCAAATGATTTTGTAAGTTTTTAAAATCTCACCTTTATTATTTTTATGCAAAACTCAAGGCAGCAAACGTACCTAATGATCCTTTCGTCTTCTATTTTTGTCCCGTAAGGTGAATTAGGCTGAGAAAGAATGCCTGGCCCAGGGTCACCCAGCCAGCTTTCATGCATAATCTACATGTAGAGTAGAGTAGAGTAGAGTAGAGTAGAGTAGAGTGGAGTGGAGTGGAGTGGGTGGAATGGAATGGAATGGAATGGAATGGAATGGAATGGAATGGAATGGAATGGAATGGAATGGAATGGAATG